AGTCTTTGATATTGGACCACATAAAATTTCCAATGCGTGGCACATATAGATTCATTATCAGACTCGTATCTATTGATCGTTCTAGTTCGAAAAGTATCAATAATCCCATTGTTAACAGATGAAATCCGATATATCATTTACTGTGTAGTCGTTGACATACAGCTTGTGGTTATAGTGATTTTTTCCCTTCATGTAATGTTTATTACGCACCGTGGTTTATTGGTGCAATTTCGCCTATCGTACCTCTCTATCCAATTATAAATAGTTGGAGGTAAAATTTAACTTAATTTCTAATGAAGTTTATTATGTCATTGAGTGTAATCAGACTGCCGAGTTGGAATTTCAGTGCATAGGAAAACATGAAATAGTTTTAACTTTAAGCTTCATAAATTAAAATCAATATGTAGCTGATTTCATAGGATCAATCATTGCTGAGTGATCATTAGTGAATTTATCTGATTTATTTCGCGATGTGTGCTGTATTTCATGTCTCTTTATATTGGATAACTAGAGTTTTGGTCTCAGAAGAAGAAGAAGAAGAAGAAGAAGAAGAAGAAGAAGATGATGATGATGATGATGATGATGATGATGATGATGATGATGATGATGATAAATAAACCAGTGCGGAGATCACAAATAAGTGTTTAGAACATTGACCTATTTTCTGTACGTGCTTGGCCTCTGACTCTGACCGTGATTCGCCTCTAAATTATTTTTTTCGAAGACTTTGTTGGCATGTTTCGAGTATTGTTTTTATCTCCTCGCTATTTATTAGTCCCCTATGGGAAAATATCTTGGGCAAATTCGAGTTTCAGGATCGTTAAATCAAGGTCATTGTTACAACTTTTTGGGGTGGGGGATAGTTGTCAAGCATCCCGGGGGCTTGTTTTAATAAGGGATTCTTATAAAATTGTACACGGTTATAAAGCATAAAGCATTAAAATATCTTAGATAGGTTCGAAATTTCATTGTGTCAAGGTTACCTTTACTATTTTTAGACAATCTTTGTCAGAGCTCTAGCGACTTCATTCCTTTACGAATTATCATAAAATTTCACACGTTTATCTAGCATTAGATTATCTTGGATAAGTTCAAGTTTCAGTGTTGTTTGGTCAAGGTCAAGGTTACCCTTGTCATTATTTTAGTGGCTCTTTTTCTTATGTAATTTTGATTTACAAATGACCATAACACATTGCTATTACACATTGGTGATGAAACAGTATTGTCAGTATGTCAAATCTATCCATTGCATTGGTGCTTTAAAAATACAAAGTAAATGAACATTTTTCTTTTCTTTCTTTTTTTCAACAACTTAACACCGAACAGTTTCGTCTTTATATATCATTAAAGTGTAATAGCTTGCGGGGTCTGGTTGTTGACAATGTTCACCATGCCTATTTAAATATATTTTGTTGCTGCAAGGGATGAGGCATCGCCATGAAAGATAACTAACAGCATCATTAACAAGCTGGGTGAATCCTGATAATAGTATGGCCCCATATCATCTTCAGTGTAGAACTACATAGGAGGATAAACACTGTATCCCCGTCACTAGCGAATGGGATGGTGGTGGATTCGGCACCCAGATTCCATCAAAAGGGTAGCAATGAGATGGACACCTTAAGATAAGAGAAAGACAGGAAGACCAAAGAAGACTTGGGGCGGTCGGTCGGTCGGTCGAGGAGGAAATGGAGGAAGAGTGATGGACGTGGGGACAAGTTAAACAATCTAGGGACAGGTAGTATTGGGAGTCTCTGGTGATGGCATTGTGTGCGACACCGCACGAAGAGGATTTAGTAAATAGGGGATGTAAAGGGACTGGGCACCATGAAGTTATCTAATTTTTACAAGATCCCTTCCCATTTTTTCCCTACTCCGGTCCTAACTTTGTATGTTCCCTATGTTAAGCTTATAGTGATGTAGACTGATTAAGATTGTCTCAATATTCTATTGTTATCGGTGTGATATCATTGGAAAACATTTGATTTCCTTTGAAGTACGAAATGAAGCTAGATGTGTTTAATGCCGGCAAGATTTTTAATATAGCCTTGCGGTGCACATTTGAAAACGCGATATAAGATGTTTGAATTGTGTCATTTCAGATTGTCTGTTCTTGTTTTTTTTTAATTTTTCCTCGTTTCACCGACTAAGAGTTTAGGAGTTTAAAAATAAACATCTAAGTCTTATCAAAGATGTAGGAATCGAATAAATATTATATGTCTGCTAAATTTTGTATGTCTGCTTATAACCATTTAAGATTTTAAGCATTTGCCTTTTACCTTTTAGTTTGTTAGGTTTTTTCCTTTTTTGATCACTGTGTGTTTCACCTATGGTTGATGTCCCTAATGACCTCTTTATGTGTTTGGCGGGCCATTAAGACTATAATAATAGCGAGCGCTATATGGTATTGTGTGTGTGTGTGTGTGTGTGTGTGTGTGTGTGATAATTCAACTCCAACAACCTGCCCATATGATCAACTTTAAACGGAAGTGTGGCCGTAACTTCATTACCCACAATACACTTGCTGCAGCACGCAACGAAAATTGCCGACCCATTGAAAGGCATTTTATGTTTTGTTGATTATCAGAACGAAAACTCTCAATAACAAAGAGAAAAGAAAACGGTGGGAGAGAACATTCTGATTTTAATCATGAAAACTCGTTAAACATATAAGCACCGCCTTCACAAATCCGACTAAAACTATAATATATTGTCTTTCGCCATATTTTGACTACAAAATCCTTTCTTTTTTAAAGCAAAGATAATAGATAGTCCTCTGCAATATCTGTAACTATAAAAGGGAAACTCTTGTGCATTTATTTTGAAGGTCTTTTTGATCAATTTTTATAGTCTAGATATGTGGTCAAAGACTTTATTAATACATTTATTGTTACCATGGAAACCGATAAACATCACAAATTTAAGTTTTTCTGAGCCAATACTCTGACAAGGTAATTGCTCAAAACTTTTTACGCTTATTAAGCTAGTTTCTTTTGCTATGGGGAAGTTCTCCATTTAAATACTTTTTATGTTACCATGGAAACAGATAGGCCAATCACAAAGTTCAGTTTTTTCAGACCAGTTCTCTTAAACCATTCAAGGTAATTACCTGTTACTCAAAGCTTTGTACAGGCATCAAGCTAGTATTATAGTAGAAGTTCTCAATTTCAATACTTTGTATGGAACAATTAGAAATAACAAATAGAAATTAACTTGTTGTAATATTAACACATACATGTATATATATGGGTGAAAGACAAGTGTGTTACAACTGTGCCACCAAACCACACCCTGATCACGGTGTTACATTGTTTTCTAGAAGAAGAAGACGTGTCGCTGATGGTTGATATATTGGTACATTTGTATGTGCCGATGTTTTGTTAAACATACAACAAATTAAAAAAAACAAGCTTCGGTGCAGACGGATCAGGCTGTTCAATTGTGCATCTTGTTGGCCAACTTGCGCTCGCTTTAGGCAGTGCCTATTTCATATTAATAATTGTATGTCTGCTGATTATATAAATCAATACATGTATCAAGGGAAACAACTCGCGTCAAACATTTTTTTCATATTCAAGTTCAAAGGATGCTCAATGGGAACACAAATGTAATACATGTAGTATTAGATTATTTTTGGCTCTATTTTTTCTCGAAATTCTTTTATTTTTCAAATAATGCAGGCAGTAGCAATGTGTCTTAACAGTTTGTGGAAGTCAATCATTTTTAAAAAGAAATATGTGTTTGAAATCTATGTAGAAGGATCGACTGTTCGTCATATATTGTAAATTGTTTTGTCTTCCTAATTGTTCTTTCGTATTTATTAGTTTCCGTTTATACTGTATGTCGTCTTAGAGTATAGTCTAGTATCGTCTGCTAGTATCGTATCGTGTGGTCAGTGGTCAGTTTAGTCTTTGTCTTACGTCATAGTCTTATGTCTTATTTTATTTGCTCGTCGATTTCGCGGTAGTTTTGATGTTCCGGTCATTGCTTCATTGTGTGACCGGCCGGCAAAGGACGAGCATTGTAAGTTTAATCTTTATTATCCTGTACTCTCCTACTAGTGGTATTTAATTATTATATTTATAAAGAGTAAGATTTATATTACTTTGATGTCAAATAGTTTCATTGTTATGTATTGGTACAAAACTACGGTAAACCAGTAATGAATTCAAATAACATATTATTTAAATATGTTGAAATCCATTTTTCGATATATGTACATTATAAGATTATATAATGATACAGATAATTTAGTCCGGATTTCTAGTTTCTTTGTTTGTAACTTTACAGACTTGCCCTACCATACATAGTGGTCGCAATATGTAAAATAATTGACAAGGTACCTACAAACTCTGTGCCATACACAGGTAATTGATTTTATATGTATTCCACTTAGAATGTAGATAATTTATAGTATTCAGGTTTAATCATAATACTTACCTCATATTGTAAATAATAAACTAGGAACGCATTGTTCATAGAAATATCTATATATTCCTATTATTATTCGCTATATCTGTAATGGAATTATGTAACATCAGTTTAATATAATTCAATATAACTCAATGTTGTACTAGTGTTGCAAGTATACAGTTAAATTATCTTTTTGTCAAAGTGATATATGTATGTTTTGCGTGTGTGATATTTGTTATATGGTTAATGTTATTTGTGTATTGTCATTGCATAGTTCGTCTTGTACGTACACCTGTCTATGTTGGAATAAACGGACCGAATGGTCCACCTGAACTTACGCAGGCGTCATGTAATATATATATATGCATGAAAATCTGACCCTGTAACAAATGCATATTTTTTATTTAAAAAGTTTCGATTAGTATATAAGAATAAACTTATCCTCCATACGTATTTCATGAAAGTAAAAGTTATAATAAATTGTATTATATTAGTGTTGATGAGATTATATTATGGTCTGAACAGAGTTAGTGCCCTTCCTAGTCATGTGATCAAAATTTACCCGGAAGTGGCTATCCTCCATTTCTGACAGCAATGAATCAACCGAAGATAGGCGTCTAGAACCGGGTGTTACCCTTGATATTTACTTACGTTCTTACCGTTGTAACACACATATTTGTCACAACGTACCGATATTTTCTTCATGGCAACCTTACAGGTAAATGACGCCAGAGTCTCTCACGAATTAGCAAGTCGATGACAAAAGTCATGGGACAAGTTTATATTTTTGACTGTTTACATGCAAAAATACGGAAGTTCGACAAACGGTTGGAATATTGAACAGAAATATTTTTTTCTGAAATGCGGATGCAAGCTTTAGTGTTATATGCTTCTTAATATTCATCGATTATTTTTTTTGTAATAAAGACTCGTTATTCTGTTATAGTAGATACCAATGTAAACAAATCGGGAGTTATTTATGTCTGATCGATTCGGCCTCACGTGCACAGGTGATTCATAGTCATGTCCAAAATAGTCTTGAATTTTGATTCGTATATCACTCTACAGCATTGACAAAATATAGTTGGAAACAGTCTGTGTTTGGTCATCTGTGGGAACATCATGGTGATGGAGGTATTTTATATCATTTTCCTTCTGTTGTTTTCCTGATTATATTGATACAATACAGTATATAACACGGGGGCTTGTGACAAATCCAGTTATAGAGAATACTTGGTCAGTGCCTTGAAATATAAGATGTATTTTGGTGAGGATGAAGAAAGACAGGTGGTTAGTCTCTGGCCTCTAAATTTTGCCTGATGATTGATGCCAAAATAATTGTTTCAGGCGGAACGTGGTTCCAAACTTCGTCGGATATAACAGTGATTTTATGAATTTTCATAAAACAACTTGTTCATTACAAGTTGTAAAATCACTTATTTCAAAAACTTTTTATATTTCTAAACGTGATATTTAAGAAAATTCAGATAGTAATTCTGTAAAATTACTACACTTGCTAATATACAGCCTTTTTATGTCACTGCCGAATACAGCAAAAATGTATGTAGCATGAGTGTTCCAACAATGGTGGTGGCAGTTGCAGGCTAAATAAGGATATGTATAAAATTGGTCAGAACCTATTGTGCATGCTTATATCATGAGCCTCCGACTTACTTTATACAAATTCTAAGTTGCAACAAGCCGATGCGGTGCATTTCTGATTTTATTATGTGATGATGAAGCTTTATGCAAGATACAAAAAGTTTCATGTGCATATTCTGAATATTAAAACAATAAAGATGTATTATGTAAATAGTGACAAACATAGAAAATAGAAAGATGTAAATATAACAAAACACATACTAGATACTATTATGATATAGAAAAAAATCGCCGAAGACTGTGATTCCAAATACCTTAGCTAGTTATTGGGGAAATACAGATGTCAGTATGACATGTATAAGACAAAATGTCAAAAGTGTAGTACATGTATAAGCCAGGAATTAAAGGGCCAACAAGGAAAGCAGCACCAGATAGATGTCACAATATGAAGAGTTTAAAAGGCAGTTAATAAATATATTGTAACAAAATTAGATAGCATATACATTGAACATGTGTATATCATACTGATGTTATGAAGGAATTGTTAAATCATTGTATCAATGGAATATGGTTTTATGGCAAAAGCTAAAAATTGAAATACTTTACACTTATTAGATTTTTTAAAATATAAATTCATACAAATGACAAGTAACATTGTTAACTATAATTTAAAGTCTGTTACAAAGTAATGTAATCATAGACTCCAAATTTCTAACTGAAATTTGAAATCTTGTACTTTGAAATTATGGTCAGTTTTCACATATCTGGACTAGATTTAAGATTTTAATCAAATATTTTGTTATTGAGGCACAGTACATAATATATCTAATTATCCACTTACCAAATCAATTGAATAATTTTGTCTTTCAAAAACTGGTCAAAAATGATTAACAGGTATTAGAAAAGAATTGTCTTAAATTTTTATCTCCTCAGAGAGTATATCTCTACATTTGTAATAGAGTGATAGATACAGAGCATATATAACACTTTTCCTATGTATACCTCCAAGTATTAAATGGTCTTGATGAATATTTGAGAAACAAATCTGATACGATATTTACAAAATCAGGTTCTCTTTGTTGCTTAAATTTTGAAAAATAAAATATTTAAGTCTTTTCTTCAGGAATTTGTTACCTTGATTGATTTTCTGAACTCCTATTAGTCTGTTTTTGTTTTCATCGATTCCAATAAGTAGGTCAACATTGATGTCAGCAATATCCTATATATATTATTGACATAATGTCATGTGAAGTATTCAAACATGTGACTGGTGTTTATACCCAAATGTGGTGCCAACAGATTGTCATTTGTTTCCATACAACTACAGAAGTCTCTTTATGTATGATACCCATGTCTTTGTATACATGTATAGTAAACTTATTAATACATGTAATGCAAATTTTTAACATCTATTATTGCACTGTCTGTTTTTACCTCAGAAAATGCCCCCAACATATTATTTCTTAGAAACATATTATTACTTAGGTATTCTGAGCCATTAATTAAAAATGAAATCTATCCATACCTCTTTTAAAACAAACCAGATATAAATGGCACCAAATGTTCCAAAAATATCAACAATAGAAAAAGTCATGGGACTTACATCATGTGAGACGCCGCTCATGTGATTTGGAGCTCATGTCTAAATATGGCACTGGCATATTCCCAGGGTTGTGGTGCAACAGGGTACTGAATACTGACTTAAACAGTGTTGGTATGGTCAGCATTCTATTGGGAGAGTATGGTGTTTGAGGTATTTTATTATTTGTCTCATTCTTGTTTTATGTGTATATCTTGTGAAACAGGATTTTAAACTCTCTGATAGGTTCTGATTTCTTATTTCTGATCTTACATATTTAAGAGGATTTTTTTTCACTTCTAAACCTGCAATTGAAAACCCTCTCTCTAAATTATAAAATGGTAAGATCTATCAGTGCATGTCATTAAACTCAAATAATTATGCAATTTCTCCTGCAATGGAATCATAGTCAAGTTTCTGGGAATGCATTTTCAGTGCAATATAAGCAAAACAGATTCTAAATTTGTGCAATGGCAAATCCGAGATGGGCTTGAACTTCAGAATAAAACACTGTGAAGAAGCATGTTGTATATATATGTATTTTAAGTCAAACATTGTTTATTGCAGAAAGCTATTGATATTGTTACCAAGGCAACAGAGGAAGATAAAAATAAGAATTATGAAGAAGCCTTAAAGTTGTATGAACATGGAGTTGAGTATTTTCTCCATGCCATGAAATGTAAGTAATTTTTGGTAAGGAATGTTGTAGTAATATAATCAAATGTAATTATAAGTGGTTTTTTTTTCTTCAAAAATGGCAAAGATAAATTAAACTGATTTAATTATCACAATCATAAATCATTCAAATTAATCATAATTATGATGCACACACAAAATGGAATTGAGTACAAAATTTCAAACACTTCAAAAAAGATGTGTAACTGTATCATAAGGACATATAGGCAAAGTAAACCCATTAAAATATCATTTTAATGGTTTGTCTGAAATCTTTCATTCTATACAAGTAATTTTTGTAGGATTTACTAGTTGAGTCCAGAACACTATTTCTAAAGTTTTGATGAGTCACATTACTGCAGATATTAGTAGGTTCTCCAAATTTTGGTACAGGAGTCCCAAACATAGTGACAATGTTTTCGTCAAATATTGTACATTTTTGATTTGTATTTGGCATCAAAACTATTTCAGATGAAGCTCAGAGTGACAAGGCTAAAGAAAGCATCAGATCTAAATGTATGCAGTATCTTGACCGAGCTGAAAAATTGAAGAAATATGTTTATGGAAAAAAGAAGAATCCAGTTGCTGATGGAGGGGGCTCTACAACAGGGAGGTACATGTCAATTTGCTGTTTGTCATTGTCATGGTTTTAGATCACAATTTTGTCCAGTAGTTTCTTTTTATGTAAGGTGTATTTCAGTAGAACATCTCTCCCATCCAAGGACTCCAGGTATTTTTTTTTTTTTTGAGGTGTCGCCCATAGAGTTTAATTGATGATAAATTTTTTGAATGATATTGCAATGAAAAACATTTGAAAGAGGCAATTAGTTACATGCGATACATAAAATAAAGTCTGACATTTTCTATCAAAGATATTTTCTATCAAACATGAAAACTGAATATGGGAGAAAAAAAAGAGTGTATGATCAATGTTACATCACACACATGATTTTATTTGATGTTGTCCAGTTAAGTATATAAAACAAAGATATAATAAATCATATCATAATTTAGTGCTTGTATTCAAACCAAATGAAATTACATATAATTAAAATGTTACATTGTTATACTACAGAGTGATAAAAGTTCTAAGACTTTCCCAGTTGCAGTTGTATACCTTTGGAAATAATTTATCAATTTTTTCAACTTTTACCTTTTTTCACAGAATTATGATTTCTTATTATTACTACTAATTTTGATCTACCAGCTTTTTTATTCATGAAAAAAACTAATATAAATGATTTAGAAGTTACACGAAATCAGTTATTTTACATTAATTTATACATATATGTAAGTTTGTAATTGAAAATACTGAAATATGATGTATGTGTTCATGAAAATAAAGTATCTGATTATTATAACATTAATTTGATCTTCTGGATCAATATGTATCACTATGTAAGATTTCCTTATGTTTTTCAGGAACAATAAGAAAGGAAAAGGTAGTGATAGTGACTCAGATGATGACAAAGGAGATCCAGAGAATAAAAAATTCAATGACCAAATTTCAGGTAAATAACTTTTTTTAATAAGGTACTCAGTCACATGTGCTGTTTTATATACAATATTGGTTTTAAAATATTGAAAAAATAAGTTTTCAAATATTAGAAATCTGCTTTGTAATTTATTTTTATTAAATATTCAGTAAATACTTTAATGTTTCAAAATCTGCATTGTAGCTTTTTTGTTGTAATTCAATCCTGTTTATTTCAAATGCTTCAGGAGCTATAGTGATGGAAAAACCCAATGTTAAATGGGATGATGTGGCTGGACTTTACCAGGCTAAGGAATCATTAAAAGAGGCGGTCATTTTACCTGTTAAATTTCCTCATCTCTTCACAGGTAAAAATCTGAACAGTTTACTAATATGTTATAAAAGTATATAAAATGTTTCTGGTAGACATTGAAAACATTTTCTAGAAAATAGTTCCATGAATAATGCACTATTCCATAAATTTATTTGCAGAATGTAGTGAAGTAAATTACTTTGTAAATAATAAGTGTGTTTGATGACAAAAGCAATGTTTTTCCTGCTTTTAAAATACACATATTGTACAAGTTGAGCTTTCAATATTTTGCTTTTCTCTCTATCCCAAAATGGAATTTCAGTAAAAAATCACTTCATCTCCCATTGTAGGAACATGATTAGAACTTTTATCTTTGAACTGATTTCTGTTTAAGTCAGAATGTTTGATCATATGAAAAACATTTTTTTTTCATACAGGTAAACGCAAACCTTGGAGAGGAATTTTATTATTTGGGGTAAGTTGGAATTATGAAAGTCGTACAAATAAATCTGGTCTCAGGTAATGTGAACCAAAGTGATGCTCTTCATACATAACAGTCTGAGAAATAGAGTAATTTCAAAACTTTTCCTAAGTCTCAAAAAGAAAGAAAAAAACGTTTTAAACTTTGTCTATAAAAATGTTGTGTATTTTTACTTTCAGCCTCCTGGTACTGGAAAGTCATATTTGGCAAAGGCTGTAGCTACTGAGGCTGATAATTCAACATTCTTCTCTGTATCATCTGCAGATTTAGTGTCTAAATGGCTTGGAGAGAGTGAAAAGTATGTTTTGTTGGGTTTTTTTAATTACACTTCAATATTTATCTACCTTTATCATTTTCATACTAAAACTATCCCTCACTTGAAAAACAGTTTACCTTATCTAGTAACTCCAAGGGAACAGATTTGCCTTTTTTTCTCTGCAAATGATCTGTTGATCCAGAATCATCTACTGAGATGGAAGGCCAGTAGGTTGTAGAAGCTCAAATAGATCATCGTAGCTTATTTTGTGATGAATTTATCAGATTCAAGTAAAGAGGAATGAATAATAATTTAAATATTTCACCAGTTCTGTCTTCATAATACCTATTTAAAATGTTGACAAAATCTGGCATCATTTGTTACTTCTTGTACATATTCATTTGAGTTATTTTGAACAGCAAAAGAAATTTATGCTTAACAAATATGAGATTTTATTGTATAAAGTATGGTCAGTGTTGGTACCTAGTGTAATACATTGTTTTGTGTTACAGATTGGTGAAAACCCTGTTCCAACAGGCGAGGGAACATAAGCCCAGCATCATATTCATTGATGAAGTGGATGCCCTCTGCTCATCCCGTGGGGAGGGTGAGTCCGAGTCCAGTCGACGAATCAAAACTGAGTTCTTGGTTCAGATGCAAGGAGTTGGGAATGACAATGATGGAATCCTGGTGTTAGGTGCCACCAATATACCTTGGGTACTGGACTCAGCCATCAGAAGAAGGTAATATCAATTAGTCTTTCAGAAAACATAAATTTGACTCTGAAAGGTAAGAATTTGTATTGAATATAGGTTTTGCCACAATAGACTTAAATTAAATTTTACACTTTCTATATTCCCAAAATTCTAAAAAAAAAAAATATATCATTTCTCTTTTTGTGATAAAAACAAAATCTGTAAAAGTATTTGAATTTTATTGATTGCTTCTATCAATTCAATTATTATAGTATTAATTATCATTAATTTAACATTTGGAAAAAAGGAATTAAAAATTGAAAGAATATCACTATAAAAATTCAATTTTCAATAGAATTGCAAAGTTTGTTGTATAGAATAAACATGAATTTACTACAGCTGTTATATCACCATCTGGATTATCATTTGAATTTATTTATTTGAAGGAACTTGACTGTTTTAGTCACTGCTCTTAGTTCAAAGCTGATAATTCCCAGGGCCCAGTTTTAATACTTGTCTCCTTAATACATTGTTGCATTCACTGGCCTTACTTCATCTATATTGCTGTAACTATTAAGCATTTGTTCTTTGTAGATTTGAGAAGAGAATTTACATCCCTTTACCAGAAGCTCCAGCAAGAATGGCCATGTTTAAACTTCACTTAGGCACAACACCGCATAGCATACAGGAGCATGAGTTTAAACAACTCGGTGAAGGATCAGATGGGTAGGTATTACAGTAGAGAATATACAGTAGTACAAGTTTAGACAACTTGGTGAAGGATCAGATGGGTAGGTATTACAGTAGAGAATATACAGGTGTACAAGTTTAGACAACTTGGTGAAGGATCAGATGGGTAGGTATTACAGCAGAGAATATACAGGGGTACAAGTTTAGACAACCCAATGAAAAATCAGACATGTAGGTATTACAGTAGTGCATATATAGGAGCATGTGTTCTAATAACATTGATAAGGTGAGAATATTTATGAAAAGAAAAACTCACATTAATAGTATCAATACTGTGAAAATTATCAGTCATCAGTAAATTATGATAGTTATTACAGAGAAATATACATACAGCTTGTAAGGAACATGCAACAGGCTTTATAGTTGTAGAATAAGAATTATCATTGTTATGTGATGAGAACCTAGCATCCTGATCATACCATCAGATGAAGTTCTACTCCAGATCGGATTCTGGTTTGGGTATAAGTGGGATATCCATGTTTTCATTGTTGACAGTTTCTAGTTTTGTTGAATATTGATTAACATATGATTTTATATTTTATACACACTGTTAGTAAGCTATGTACCTTATTATATAGAAATATTGTATTTCCATTATAGGTATTCTGGAGCAGATATCAGTATCGTTGTAAGAGATGCCCTGATGCAGCCTGTAAGGAAAGTACAGACAGCCACACATTTCAAGAGAGTAAGTGTTGAAGACATTTGGATTAAAATAGTATCTGATACACAAAATAATCTAACAGTGGTGATTTATTGTTGCCTTTGTCCTGATCACTGTATATACAGGGTAATATCCCCCCAGGGATTTTGTCATCCACTAATGACTGTTCCTTATGCCTAATTTTCTCAGCTTTAACATGAATCTTAGGCCCATCATATATTTTTGTCCTCTTTGCAAAAGGTTGGGAGTCAATGTGACAAAGGCTCCCGGTAACAATGTTGGTTTATTAGAATCCTGCCAAGAATGTGTAGATTTTCCCTCCTATGACTGACATACTTCCTTTTTCTATCTGTTGGTCCTGCCATCATTCACAAAAAGTGTTGAAAAAGTTTTCCAGCAGCAGTCCATAAAAATGAGTTGGTAATGTTTTATTTTTACATCAATCAAAAACATGCTCGCTACAACAGATTTTCAACAAATTGTTATCTCCACTTTCTTAATTAGTGTTGAACCAGTGTCGAAAGTAAAAAAGTAAATGTATATTTGTTGTGATAAATAATCCACAGTATCTTATCTACTTTTGTATCCTTAAACAATATTGCTATACATATGGCTGATAAGAAGTATCTCATTCTGAATGCTTCCGCTCAAAATCTTTCATTATTCATTGAAATTGGAAAAAAGGGATCATTTCTATACCTGTGGCATTCTCCAGAATGTATTACTTGACATGAGATCATTTCTGTACCTGTGACATTCTCCAGAATGTACAACTTGACATGAGATCATTTTTGTACCTGTGGCATTCTCCAGAATGTATTACTTGACATGAGATCATTTCTGTACCTGTGGCATTCTCCAGAATGTATTACTTGACATGAGATCATTTCTGTACCTGTGGCATTCTCCAGAATGTATTACTTGACATGAGATCATTTCTGTACCTGTGGCATTCTCCAGAATGTATTACTTGACATGAGATCATTTCTGTTTGTGTTGTGTTCTTTAGGTACGAGGTCCCTCCAGAAATGATCCTAATGTAATAGTTGATGATCTGTTGACACCTTGCTCACCAGGAGCCCCCGGGGCTACAGAAATGAGCTGGATGGATGTGCCCGGAGAGAAGCTACTTGAACCTGTAGTTAGCTTGGTGAGTGATAGAATAAATATTTTTATTTTTGGTGTCGCAAGGTTTTATTTTGCTATAACTGTCCATTTATTTCATCAGATAAGCCATAATCAGAAAATATGATCTACAACATCTACCATCACATTGTGATATCACTCCATGATATCACTCCATGATATCACAATGTGATGGTAGATGTTGTAGATGTCCCTGTGTCTCATTCCCTGCGGGTCATATCACTTTGTAGTGATATCACATTGTAATATTAGATGTTGTAGATGTCCCTGTGTCTGATTCCCTGCGGGTCATATCACTTTGTAGTGATATCACAATGTAATATTAGATGTTGTAGATGTCCCTGTGTTTGATTCCCTGTAGGCAATGTGGTAGAAATTATACTTTTCTCTGATTTTCTGATACTGTTGTTGTCAACTTCAAATGTAAGATGATAATTCAAATCCTGTAACAGATTCTGAGAATTTCTCTTAATTTCTTTGATGTCTTCAGAAATGAACAGCATTAACAAGAAATTTCATAATTTTCAAAATCTGTTTTGTTAGAAGTTTCTTGAAATAAATGGAAATCCCATATTGATATTTCAATTGATTAAACTGTTCTGTAATTGTTTACACTTTGACTGTTATATTGAATACATGACTAGTGCCTTTGGCTATAAATTTTGTCAGGCTAATTGAAATACCATTAAAACACTCATGAAAACCAAATTCACATTAGAGATATTTAATGTTAGAATTTACTGTCTTTCATACATCTACCTGTATGTGTCTAGTAGGATTATTCTTAACTGTTTTTAAAAACTCCTAATATTTCTTAATATTCTTTTTCCTTAGAGTGATATGCTAATGTCCCTGAGCACCTCAAAACCAACTGTTAATGAAGAGGATTTGAAACGCCTACAAACGTTTACGGAGGATTTTGGCCAGGAAGGATGATGCTTTGTCAATCGTTTTTGTTGTGAAAAGTACTATGATGCAACTGTGACTTTAACAGTCTGACATGGATTCATAAATAACGTGCAGAAGATGATCACTTACACATGAAGATGGTGCACACCTGCATGTCCCTGCGTTTTTGAAATGATGTTGAATGGAATAGGAGTTTTTAGAAAACCTTTCATCATTTCTGAAGAAACTTGTAGTTAAGCTTATCATTAGGCCAACCTTGACATACGTTCATGGCCATAATTCATTATTTACAGTCATTGGCATATCACCATTTTACATGTATTTACAAAGCGATTGTTATTTCTTGTGCACAAGAGCTGATTGTGACAATATTTCTTTCTTTGCTGACAATGTGATAGATTAAAGATAGACATGTAAATCAGCTTGATATGTGACCAATGTGGCGATGTTTTTTTTTTTTTTCAAGATTTGTGTTTCTATGTCTACTTTAATCACCTGAAGAATTTATTTCCTCAATTTTGCCCCAAAAATAACAATGGCCATTTATTTCACAAAGGCCAATTAAATAGAAAAAGAAAACACCATCTTGCATCTTGTTATATATAGGCCCTGTTGCTTTTTTGGTCTTGATTTCCACAAAGTTTTGATAAATGATGTACATCACGGAAGTTTTTTCATACTTTATTGTATTTGACATTGATTTGGAAATGTTTTAAGTAAATACTAATGACACCCACCTGCTGTTGAGAAGGAGATAATTACCGGTGACCTCTGGCTTTGGTATCAATAAATGCTGTTGAGATTATTTTCCCAACTTCTGAATAAATGTTGATAAGATGAAGGGAAAGTCGTATCATGATATGATGAACCTGCTTGAAACTGAGACATGTAAAACAGAAGTCTACAGAAGTTTCGTCGCTGCTTTCTTTTTTAATACAATGAAGGTAAATTCCTTATAAAATCCCTTCTTCTAATTATAAAAAGATTACTGAAACTTGTTTCCTTCTCAATTTTGGTTTGTGTGGCCTTAAGGAGTTATATATATGTCTACTGACTTTTCCAACATGATTTCTACTCAAAACCCTGGATGCTTGAGTTAGTAAATAAGATGAGCATATAATTTATTAGAGGAGATGTATGTTTGCATTGAAAAAGTTTGATTTTGAAATTGATTTCTTGGAATTCTTATGAGTAAAAATGAAAGGGAGATGATTTTGGCCGAAGTCACAGCTATAATTAAAGAGGTTAATGATGAACATTGTCTGTTGTGTTTCTTTTCCATAATTTCATGCATAGAAAATAGTGTACACATAGATATTTTTTATTTAACAAACTTAACAATATTTTTGCCACACTTGAACATTTTTGCATTCAAAATCACAAATTTATGTTTTAAAAAAAAAGAAAAATAGGGGAGATTATTATGAATTAGGTTATTTTTTAACAAGACATTTTTCACAGACATGATTATACCTATAAGTATTCATAAACCCTCCGTTTCCCTAATAGGAACACATACTAGTATCCCAAGATTTGTTTGCCAATATCTTCATTAACACATGACTCGGAGTCCTTCCTGTGTATGGTTGAGATGAGTTTGACCCTAGTCGTCATACAACTGATATGATGCTAACCTTGATATACTTCCCTATACTTATGTTATACTTACCATTTATCTAGAGATGTACACACCTGTATAGATCTATATATGGATCTGCCTATGGCAATATTGGCTAAGAAAAACACAGAATTTCAAATATTTGATGTATTTGCACTGACCCTCGGTGCTTTTAAATCTTACAAGTTTTTCTTTTCTTACAAACAAGTAAAAAGGTTCATCTTTTAACATAATTTCTCCTTGTTTTTGCCATCGTCTTCAGGCTGGTCAGCTGTCTGTACAGTCATAGATTTTATAATGATGTAATACACAAAAGTCATTCAACTTTCTTGTCTCCAATTTCTAATTATTAGAAAGAAAAAAGAAATAAAGGATTTCCCTGAACTTTACAAGACTTCTTGTTGCTTAAAGTGATTTAGAAATTTCTTACAAGTAGAAACTTTTGTATTGTCTTGTTTGATAATTATTTTTTTTGTCTTGAGTTTTAATTTATTGTGATTTTATCTGAGTACATGATGGAAAGAAGATTTTATGCTAAAATGGAAAATCTAAAATTTCTTATGGAATAATATCTCCTGGAACTTCTGCGAGATAGATTAGATTTCTTGTCTCTATTTACACAACAGAAGTACAGAAAAAGATACATGTACAGTACCATGAGAGACTATTCAATGAGTTGTGAGTGACAAAGTTCAATTATAGAACTTGAGTGAGCTAATTTCCAAGTCAAATGCAAATTACTTTTGACTACTTCCATCATCCAAGAGATAAACAAAATGTAAGACTGATCCACATGTATCATTCATAATGTAATTTTATGAACTGAAGTATCGTAAACTTTCTAGCTGTTCATGTAAAAGAAAAAAAATATCTATGGAGTATTCTGTTGGTATATTATAGGATTAAAAGAAAATGATTAAGCAATATACAGCAAAATATGAAAATGATTAAGCAATATACAGCAAAATATACATTGCAGTGAGTAATACTTACATAAACGTGAATAAATGATTGAGAAAAAAATGATTAAGCTGAGGGGAAATTTATAAAACACATACAGTGAATTCTTTTACTGTTTATATTGTGGAAATATTAATAAAGTTTTAATTCAAAACAATTCATAACTGTGTACCATTGTTTATCATAGCAGTTATCTCCCCTTACATCATATTTTCATGGAATACAACAGTAGATGAGAATGTTGTGGCATTGTTCATTGTCTGAAGTTGATAATAATAATAATAATAGTAATAACAGAATTAAGTATTATACCATGTGAAAGAAATGATTCGAAATCTTCTTTCCAGAAGAATTTCATAATAACAAGTTTATTCAATGTTATTCTTGATCTGTAAATTACTAGGGTAAGGGCGACTGCATTAAATATTTTTTCTCAGGAGACATGGATTGCACACTGATCCAAAATATATTAATTCTTGGTTAGTTTCATAAACGTGTGAAATGATCCATGTTTAGTATTTTCTAATTTGTTACAGTTTGCAATTTTTGATAGTTTGCACCTATAAAAAATTGTAGAATTCAAAACCTATTGCTCTGTAGTGAGAATGAAGGATGTCCTCACCTCTGCTCTGTCTGGCTGTAACTAGAGTTTAAAGCTTTCATTTTTGTGATTATTTCAAATTTGAACAAAAGAGTGATATGTTGCACCTAAATTTTATCATTCCTAAACAAAATTGCCAACAACTGCTACTGAAATATTGAATTTTAATATACGATTGAGTGTTTTACTCTAAAAGGAATCTTCATACAAATATATGGAAAATTTTCATACCTAGATATGTTGAATATGGTTTTTCTATAAGACAGTAAAATTAGAATTGTTATATTCTAATATGGACATTTTACATTTAAGGCACACTTATTCTAACATGAAATTAAAAAAAAAAAAACATGTAAGAGAACAGAAAGTTCATCAAAATAGAAATTAAGTGCTCTGAATGAAAATTAAGTGTGATGTTTGCATATTTGTATTTAACTATTGAGAGGCATATGGAAAATTCATATTAAAATTTATCATATTTGTATAATACTTATAGATACAAAGAATGTTTTGTGCTAGTTAACAGTTTTGAGTATTGGTTTTGATTGATGTGAATTTGATGTAATTAGTGTATTTGGCTGTCTGATAATTTTTGTTTAAAAATATCTTGTTTTCTCTGATGGAAAGAATAAAATGATATATAGGCTTAACTGTGAATAGATAGCTTCAGTGAGTTAGAAGACCGCAAATATTGATATCTTTAAGAATGATTTTAATTAGGGTAAGCATACCTTGACCTTATCATAAAATATACATTGTATATTATGTTATGATAAAACATGCATTGTATATTATGTTATGATAAAATATGCATTGTATAATATGTTATAATAAAATATACATTGTATTTCAATGTTATAATAAAAATATACATTGTATATTAATTTTATGTACATTCGGAATGATTTAACATTGGTGTATCAACTTGTATGTAAATAAGTATATTTAATAATAAGCACAACTAAGATTAAGACTATATGTAAATAATAAAATCCATCCAAATGTTCCCCACGATTTGTCAATATATACATTCAACAGAATCCTACTGTGACGAGGCTCTGTACAGGTAGGATACAGGAATAACTTCTATGTTTATCATGATATAGGAGCTTTCATGGATTAATTTTAGGTCATCTGACTGAAGGGTCTGATGACCTATTGCGATCGCCTTTTGTCGGGCGTTGTCCGTCGTAAACATTTTCAAGTTCTTCTCAAGTTCTTCTCAAGTTCTACATTTCTCATTGAGCTGAAACTTACCTGAAATGATCGTGACATGACCCTGACCAAAGTTTGTTAATTTTGGGTTGGTCCGAAATCCATTATGGCCGCTATCATGAAAACATATTTTCGACTCCTTCTCAAGTTCAAAATTTGAAATCTTGTATCTTATGTCAGATGACCATTAAGGCAATGGGCCTCTTGTTTATCTCTTCTTCTTGTTCCTTAAACAATGTGAATTGATTCTATTGCCTCATGAAACAAAAGGTATGTTGTTTCAAGAAAAAATACTATGTGTTCTTGACTTTGTGGAGATCAATCTGTAAAATTTAAAGATCCTTGCTTTCTGGCTTACTATATATAGCAAGTGCCAGTTGTGTTGTCATACTGCAACTGGAGGTTAAGTCGCCCTGTAAACAGCCAGGATTATCCTGCAAGAGAGTTTAAATGCAGTACTTAGCTGATGACTACCAGTGATGCTCTCTAAAGCTTTTTAGGCAAAGTGCATTGTTCAAGGTCACAACCAGCAAGCACAGAACAGAGGATATGTGCCATATATACAGTGATTTGAGTGTGAATGCACTGCAGAAACGCCCTTGAGTGGTGACATTTTTTTGTCTTCAAACAAAACGAAACAAGCAAGTAATCGACTGTAATGAGACGAAATCTTAAATGCCACGAGGCATACTTTTCTAATTTGTAGATGTAATATCTTACAGAAAAAGTCTGAAGAGCCAGGATAGGTTATGGCGTACTGCAGTGTCTGTCTTCCGCCAGTCTTCCTCTGTAGGAATGCCGAGATTCTGTCCCAATTTAGTCTGAAGCATTCTTGGTTGAAAGGTAATCAATTTTGTATAAATGGTAGGTCCCATACCCCAGGGAGAAAACAGGCGGAGTCTAATAGGGAAATAGAGCAAATTCTTCTTCTGTAAGAATGCGTTGATTATCTCCAAATTTAGTCTGAGGCATGCTTTTACGAAGGAGACTTTTGGATAAATGGTTTGAGTGATACCTTTGAGACAGATTGATGGGCCAAATTGGAAAAGTCAAGTGAGCGATACATACCGGAAGGGCCTCTTTTTTCGTTTTGACGTCATCATTTGATTCCTTTCTATTATGGTATGGAAACTGATAAAACTCGTACTGAGCAGAAAGGACTACATAGCAAGCCTAAGAATGGCGGGAAAAGGTTTACAGTATTGCATTAAAATGTCTGGAGGAATGAGTCACCTCAAAGCAACCATATACAAATTACTGTTGACATCGGCGGAGGAATTATCTCTAGTTTTTTTCTCCTTGCGTTTGTTTTCATAAATCATTACCATGATATGTAGAAAATCCATTGAAAATTAACTTTTAATCCAGATATAAACACACTAGTTATTCACAAGTGAAAAATACGTATGGGTCTTACCAATCAAGATCAAGACCAACACACATGAGAAGCACAAAGTTTTTAGAGAGTTCAATGATGATGATGCTGACGATAAAGATGATGATGATGATGATGATGATGATGACGATGACGATGATGATGATGATGATGATGATGATGATGATGATGATGATGACGATGATGATGATGATGATGATGATGATGATTGATGATGATGATGATGATGATGATGATGATGATGATGATGATGATGATGATGATGATGATCGTCGCCTGCATACCAGTACAATATGACTCCTATGCATATGTACTTCCATCATATACAAACAGTATTAAACACTTGAAATCTTTTGACATTTATTTAGTTCAATACACGCACAGAAGTTGTACACCATCCCGTTTTTAAAAAGCCGGGTTTACCGAGTCTAGAGTGTAAATTAAACATAATAGAGAAAACGGTGGATACAGCGCTTCACTACATACATACAACTACTAGAGACAACAGCTAACAACTCTAACCACACAGGGAACAATTAGTCGACAGGTTGTGTGTTATATACGTCTCTGATTTTATAAAGGCAGGTGATATATTTATAAAAAAAAATATCATAATCAAACTCAAACAAACATTTGGTTCCAGTTTGGCATAACTCTTGATCACTAATACAATTATAAATGCCTTTTGATTCCTTTTTACGTTTGAAAAAAAAATATTGGAACAGATGGGTGAGATGAAAATACTGTTATTCTGGAAACTCTTGGGTGATTTTTTTTTCTTAATTTTCTTAGCGTTCGTAGCAAAAATAAACGCACCTAGACACTTACCTTGTTTGAGTTCAGTACTGTATGGAAAACAAAACTTGGACAGTAATTGTAGACTTTTATTGATTTAATAAATGTTACCAGTTAGATGATATCTATAAAGCAGTGTATGGTGAACTTCTACCTTTTGAATATGTCATTCTCACAGTAAGAGTTGCCGCCCCTTAACCGGAAATCAATTGTATTAGGCATGTAAACAAAATGCCAACTATGGTTGTTCGGCAAATCGTTGGATTGGAATATGATTGCCTATTTTCACTGACATCCTAATGTCATACTTTTGTTTTGAGTGACTCTAGATGTTCATCGATAATTGATCGATAATATTGACTTGTTATGCCACTAAATGTTAAATACCACTGGAACAATCGATGCTATTTATGTCCGATTGACACCGCCTCACGTGCATGGGTAATTCATAGGTAGTCATGTCCTAAATAGTCTTGATTTTGATTGGCACAACAGTTCTATCACTATACAGGCAAAATGGCAAAGCATAAATGGTCACAGTCTGTGTTTGATAAACCGTCGGAACAGAATAGAGATGGAGGTAATTTATATATTTTTTTTCTCTTTTCCTTTCCCGATTCTTCTGCTAAATGCTACGATTTGCATAGGGACATGTATACTGTTGATCGGTGAAGGTTATCACCTCCAATAAATTTTATAATCATTTTGAGATATAATGATGAAGCAGTTTATAAGTATCTTTTGAACGTGGCACATTATAAACATCGGGAATCATTTTGTTATTCATTTAATAGCCATCATGTCAATGCAGTGAGAACATTTTTAGGCAATTTCATGGCATGTAGATCTCGCATCAAGCTTAAGAAATATTTTTTTCTCATTTTCATCAAACGTTTGAATTATACACTGTTTTAGTAGCTTTTAAAGTTTAAAAATGCCTTTATATATATATTGTATATACATTTTTATAAAAAATAAAACAATACAAATATTTAAATGTTTGAAATCTACTTTGTAGCTGATCTTTTTTGTTGTAATTCAATCCTGTTGGTTTCAAATGCTTCAGGAGCTATAGTGATGGAAAAACCCAATGTTAAATGGGATGATGTGGCTGGACTTAACCAGGCTAAAGAAACATTAAAAGAGGCGGTCATTTTACCTGATAAATTTCCTCATCTCTTCGCAGGTAAAAATCTGTGCAGTTTACTAATGTGTTATAAAAGTATATAAAATGTTTCTGCTAAACACTGAAAACATTTTCTAGAAAATAGTTTCATGAATAATGAACTGTCTCATAAATTTATTTGCAGGATGTAGTGAAGTAAATTACTTTGTAAATAATAAGTGTCTTTGATGACAAAAGCAATGTTTTTCCTGCTTTTACAATACACATAGTGTACAAGTTGAGCTTTCAATATTTTGTTTTTTCTCTCTATCCCAATATGGAATTTCAGTAAAAAATCACTTCATCTCCCATTGTAGGAACATCTTTGAGCTATGATTTCTGTTTAAGTCAGAATGTTTGATCATATAAAAAACTTTTTTTTTTTTTCATACAGGTAAACGCAAACCTTGGAAAGGAATTTTATTATTTGGGGTAAGTTGGAATTATGAAACTTGTACAAATAAATATGAAAATGTTACTTTCACCTGTGAGATTCCTAAGAGAGAATTTGAACTGATATATCTACCTAATACATTGCTGCGGTGTAATGTTGTAATAAATTTAGACCTAGGAAAGGTGTTTTGACCAATCAATGTGTAAGAAAAGTGACAGGCATATAATAGTGCTTATGTACTATGTTTTACCAAAGTAATGCTCTTCATATATAACAATCTGAGAAATATAGCCTTAAGAAATTTGGATTAATTTCAAAACTATTCCTAAGTCTCAAAAAGAAAGAAAAAAAAATTGAAAACTTTGACTATAAATATGTTGCATATTTTTACTTCCAGCCTCCTGGTACCGGAAAGTCATATTTGGCAAAGGCTGTAGCTACTGAGGCTGATAATTCAACATTCTTCTCTGTATCATCTGCAGATTTAGTGTCTAAATGGATTGGAGAGAGTGAGAAGTATGTTTTGTTGTTTTTTTTTATTACATTTTAATATTTATCTACCTTTCTCACTTTCATATTAAAACTATCCCTCACTTGACAAACTGTTTACCCAATTTAAAACACAGTATTCAGCATTTATAGTAAGTTTTCAGGATAATAGTTTTGCTATACAATTAACATACTCAGGTAATCTCACCAGGTAAAGATGATCTATAGCCATTGTGTTTTTGCCCGTCGTCCATGCTGTGTTGTTTTTTAACTTTTTACATTTTAACCTTCTCAAGTTCCACTTGTGGGATTGAACTGAAAATTGCCTGAAATCATCTTGACATGGTTTTGACCAGTTGTTATCATTTTTCGAGTTAATGTGAAATGAAAAGAGAATGAAATGATACAATTCACAACATGAATTGAATTATTTCACCAGCCGTAACTTTGTAGTACCTAACCAAAAAAATGTTGACAAAGTACAATGCCATTTAATATTTCTTGTACATATCATATTTTCCTTGTGGTAAAACCAGGGATCTTACTCCTTTGAAATAAAGTAACTGGGGTTATCAAGAATTGATCCTTATTTTTGACATCAGCAATATTTCAATGATTTTCAACAGAAAGATATTAATACTGAATGAGATTTCAAGTTCGTGAAATCAGTGATTCGAAATATTGTTACCTGGTGTAATTCACACATCTCTGTGATACAGTTCGATGAAAACCCTGTTCCAACAGGCCAGGGAGCACAAACCCAGTATCATACTTATTGATGAAGTGGACGTCCTCAGCTCATCCCATAGAGAGTCCGAGTCCATTCATCAAATCAAGAATGAGTTCTTGGTTCAGATGTATGGAAATGGAAGAAATGATGACGAGATCCAGGTATTAGGTGCCTCTAGTATGCCATGGAAAATCCACCCCGCCATCAGGAAAAGGTAATTTTCAATTCTGAAATATATAAGTATTGTCTTTTTCCTTTGTCCAGTTAAAGATTTTTTTTTTGTTGATATATTTTGCCACAAACGGACTAAATTTTTAAACTAGATACTGCAATTTTTGTTATTCAGAAGTCCCAAAGATTGTTTTCCTTTTTTGTACTAAAACAAAATGTGTATGCTTATTCGTATTAGTTATTGATAATTTATTTTTTATTAATTATTGGGTGTAAGCAATTTAACCTTTTTTTTTTAAAAAAATTATCAGAATAACTGTAAAAAGTGAATGAAAATTTACCACAGCTATTACATTGTCAGTCAGATTATCATTTGGAATTTCACTATCACCCTTGCCAACCAGCTTTCAGGTAGTTCTGTCCCCTTCCTGACCTGACTACATCCAAATTTCTATAAGTGTTGAATACTTCTTTCCTGTAGATTTGCGAAGAGAATTTACATTCCTTTACCAGAAGCTCCAGCAAGAATGGCCATGTTTAAACTTCACTTAGGCACAACACCGCATAGCATACAGGAGCATGAGTTTAAACAACTCAGCGAAAAGTCAGACGGGTAGGTAACACAGCATTGAGTATACAGGAGGCGGAGTTTAAACAACTTGGTGAAGGATCAGATGGGTAGGTATTACAGTAGAGAATATACAGGTGTACAACTTTAAAAAAACTCCATTAAGGATCAGACATGTAGGTATTACAGTAGAGAATATACAGGTGTACAAGTTTAAACAACTCCATTAAGGATCAGACATGTAGGTATTACAGTAGAGAATATACAGGTGTACAAGTTTAAACAACTCCATGAAGGATCAGATGGGTAGGTATTACAGCAGAGAATATACATTAGTACAAGTTTAGACAACTCAGTGGAGGATTAGGATAATTGCCAAAGATATTCTGGAGCAGATATTAGTATGGTTGTAAAAGATACAATACACAATATTGTATTTCTGCTATAGGTATTCTGGAGCAGACATTAGTATGGTTGTAAAAGAAACAATACATATTATATTTCCACCATAGATATTCTGGAGCAGATATTAGTATGGTTGTAAGAGATACGATACACAATATTGTATTTCGGCTATAGGTATTCTGGAGCAGACATTAGTATGGTTGTAAAAGAAACAATACACAATATTGTATTTCGGCTATAGGTATTCTGGAGCAGACATTAGTATGGTTGTAAAAGAAACAATACACAATATTGTATTTCTGCTATAGGTATTCTGGAGCAGACATTAGTATGGTTGTAAAAGAAACAATACACAATATTGTATTTCTGCTATAGGTATTCTGGAGCAGACATTAGTATGGTTGTAAGAGATGCCCTGATGCAGCCTGTAAAGAAAGTACAGACAGCCACACATTTCAAGAGAGTAAGTGTTGAAGACATTAGAATAGTTACTGATAAAAAATGTAACAGAAATGATTTACTATATTCTGCTAATTATATACAGGGAGATAGAAAATCACAGTCAATTACATAAAACATACTTTTAACGTTTAGTTTTGATGATGGAATCTTGAATTAATCAACTTGATTGGAAAAGTGTTTATAGTAATTGTTAGTTTTCTTATAGATAATCTCTGTACATGTTACATTCTCCAGGTACAAGATCCACATTGAATAAATACAGAGTATAGATGTCTGTACGCCAAACATGTTGCATTCTTTAAGTAATAGATCCACTATATATACTCTTAACCGTCAGATAATATCAATACTGTATACATTGTTCTTTAGGTACGAGGTCCCTCCAGAAATGATCCTAATGTAATAGTCGATGATCTGTTGACACCGTGCTCTCCAGGAGCCCCTGGGGCTGTGGAAATGAGTTGGATGGACATTCCTGGAGAGAAATTGCTTGAACCTGTAGTTAGTTTTGTGAGTGAAAAATCCTTTTTAATGACATCTGGTGACACATGGATTTGTTCTGCCATATTTTTTCATAACTGTTTCATAACATATCTGTTGGATCAGATGGAACCATTTAATTAAAGTCCCTGATGAAATGTAACAAAATCTTCATAAAGTTAATACTATGAATTCCTGATGACATGTGTTCAGCAAATAGCTTTCAAAGATTAGTTTTAAATTTTTATATGTCTATCTTGATAGGAGTTTCATGTATATGATATCGTAATTTTAATGAATTGATTGAGTCTACAATATATCAGTTATACTTTTCTATAATTGTTTACACAGTAAAGTAATGATATATTTAATACTAAATTATGACTGACTAAAACCCATTTTCAGGTAGTTTATACTTAATATGTCAACTTAGATTTAACTTAATTTTCTTTTTCTTTAGAGTGATATGCTATTGTCCTTGAGCACCTCAAAACCATCTGTCACGGAGGACGATATTCGAAATCAAGAAGCATTCTTTGAAGATTTTTGCTAGAAAGAACTATTCTTCATCAGTCATTTTCATTATGAAATGTACTACGATGCAACTGTGTTATGACATTGATAATCGGACATGGTTCATTAATAAAGTGCAGAAGATGACGATTTGCACATAAAGATGGCGCACACATGCACATCATTGTCCTTGTGAAATGATGTCATCATTTCTTCATTCCTTAAGAAACTTGTTTAGTTTATCAATAGGCCAATCCGGACAGACATTGATGGCCATGATTAATTATTTACAGTCATTGCTATATCACAAGCGGCATGAATATATAATAGTTCTGTAATATTTTTTTACAATCCACATGTATACATATATTATGTGTATTATACATTATGTGTATGTATATATAGTAGATGTTTTGTTTTGTATATACACCGACGTTCACGATTTTCGTTTATAATTATGTATTTGTATTTATGTTCTATACATGTGTTGTAATTTATGCAATATTTTTTGTCTTGAAAAAGAGGCAGATTGCCTCAAAAATTTGATAATACACTTGTCCGTCCTTTCATTATTACTTCATTGATCATTTATCTATTCCAGAAATATGCACACAACAAACATTTGTTTGTTAGGATCCAGTATCAATAACCAATAATAGGCCATACCGTTGATATTACTTACTTGATTCTATATGAATATTATAATCATAACTTTTAATCATTATATACATGTCTCAGTGTTTGTTTTATTGTATCAAATGTTTCTTACATGCATCTATAATAATACCCTATGATACTGTAATGCCATTTACTACATGCACATTTCATTGAAAGTCAATTTTTAAAGTGTTTCAATTTATAATTGATTGTAAATGTGTTAATGATGCGTGTGTTATTCTCTTTTTCAAAATCTTCACATTGAAATAAAGAGACAGTAATCTTACTAACCATTTCTGTACAGTCATACACACATGTATAGAGTAATATACAGATCTGACAAAGGTTCTATTTGTTTACTTAGAAAAAGTACAGAATTAATATATTTTATATAGTTGCTCTATATTTTTTACATTAGTATATTTTATAATTTTACCAGTATTTTAATTTTGTGAAGTTAACAAATAAAAAATTTCATCTTTCCTTTTAATGTACTTTCTCTTTGTTTTTTTCCCATTGTTTTCATCTTGTCAGCTGTTTATGTATAACCTTAGCTGTTATCATGATAAAGAACTCAGAGGAAGCAAGTATAATTTTTGTCATTACTTTCAAAATTTGAATAAATAAACAAATTAATAAACAAATATGCCAGGGGTTTTTTCTTTAAAGGTTTAGAAGTTTTCTGCTAGTTTCTGTGTTGTATTGGTAATTATTGTTCTTATGCATTCGGTATTACCAGGGACGTATAATACTATACTATATTATACGTCCCTGGTATTACACATCTATATTTTTCTTTTGGTTACCAGTATTTAAAAAATATGCGCATAGGAAACAATCATGTTACTGCAGTACTGTAGGAAAAAACAAATACTGGGCAGAAATTATGAACGGAATATGACCTTTCTTGATTTGAATTTACATAACGTTACAACCATGGTTTGGTGTAGTGCTACCTGTATCAACATATCATTTTTAATATGAGTTGCCTCCCTTCAACCGGAAATATACAAATGCACATGTTTACAGACCTTGCAGAGAGAGGGAGGTAAGTTCGAGGAAATAGAACTGTGTTTGCCGACACTTCCGATACCATTTCATTCAGTTTATAGAAATGATCTGTACAGTATTAAATCGACTATCACTCCAAGGAAGGGGGGTTCGAAGGTTACACTGAGACAGAGGGACCACAACAAGGTATTTAATAGGTATGCTGCACAAGTGCTAAGGAGTTTCCTGACAGTCGGGTCTGATTTAAAACGATCGGAAAAAGTGAGAGAAAGATAATGAAAACTAAATTTAAGCACTTCTAAGTTTATTAATATGATATGTCACGAACCTTTAGCCTATAAGCATATCAAACCAGTCCACGTGTCTTGCATGATACGTCACAATAGTGTTATTACACATGCAGGGTTTACGATGTGTATGACCTGTCGCAACAGGACAGTAGTGTAATGAAGACAATTTAGATGGTATGTCGAAGTTCATTCGGTTGATGGTATTAAACTTTTATGTAACCTGTAACCCATGTGACATGTCATTTGCTATGTAATTTGACATTAGCTACATAAACGTTCAGCATGCATACTGATAAGGTTTATTAATACGAGTCAGTCTAGTCAACCCTGTGAGATGCGTGACATATTTTTAGAAAAGTTGTAACATTTGATTTTGTTCCTTTGAAGTTTAATGACATAGAATAAATGCCTAGCTAATTTGTTTTATAATTAGTCAAAGATATATCTACGTACACTTATATACATGTATCTCCAAAGTCTCGTGACTTTTTAAAAAAATTCTGTATGACTCTCCTTACAATTGTACTAACTAACACCTTGGTAAACCGAACACATAAGGGGTTTATGTTGCCCACGTCATCCCCCAAGCAAACATCGCGTTTACTGTCTATTTCTATCCTCAATCCTACAAGTAAAGCTCACCTGCATGTTTTATTGTCATGTCAACATCATAAGCATCCCGAGCTAATGTCTAAATAGTTACTTATGTAAAACTATGTTTTAAAACGAGAAAATATTTTCAACACATTCCATGCCTGTTGCGAGTTTCTGTTGAAGTGTTTGAAGAAAAAAAACCCACTAATACATTTATTTTGAAACAAAACGCCTCCTGGTGTTAACAGTGTTCTTCTTGGTTTTTATTTAGTTTTTTTGTCTACTTTTATTTAGTGTTCGTGGTTTTACTTGCCTTAATTGATTCGCGGTGAAAGATTTTCATGGATCTTTCTAACTAAGAATGATAATTATTTTAAGAAGCATACATGTTTGCGATGTTTTTTTCGGGAATGTTCACGAACTTTAAGGAAAATCGCTCACGATTATCGTTTTTTTTTTTATCTTTTTTAAATTATTGGCTGGTTACCAATAATTTGTCTTCATGGTATCAGGACAGATTGAAACTTACCATCGTGAAAAACAAGTTCGCTACTTGATTAAATTGTTAAAGGATCAATATATTAATTAAAGTTTTTCCCCACTTACTTACAGACCTCAGTCATGGCAACGGAACTTGTTCAGAAGTTATTGGCAGATGTTCCAGAATCTCGATCAACTCTCGTGGATTGTGTGACGACTCCGAACGAAATGACGTCACCGGTGTTCAGTCTTTTGAACCGTTTGATCGAGACGTTCCTGGGCAAAGATTACGACCTTTGTATCAAGTTATGTGAACCTTTGCTGGACATTACTTGGGAGAAGCTTAACACTGGACACTGGAAAGACGTCCATGTTTGCTGGCGACACCTATACTCGCTAGTATCACTACTAAAGGGCGTGAGTCAAGTAGTTATAACAACCAGCTGTGTTACCGATACCGGAAGTGGTGCGCTCAAAGACGATCTGACAAACTCAATTAAGACTTTCGATATGGGACTGTTGATGGGAGCACCTATATTTGGCAATGTTCTTTCAAAAATGTCAGTATATGTTCATAATTATTTGGATACGTATTTAAATTTACAGCTTTCTTCAGCAGAATCATTTCCTTTGAACCAAAAAGAACATACCAGTGAGAGCGATTCTAAAATAAAGCCACCTTATGATTCAGTGAATCATGGTTTTGTAATTGACAAAAGTGATGATCTCGAGAATCCTGAAAACCCACCAAAGAGACAAAAGACGGGAACTAGCGATATTGAAATAAATATGGAGAACGAAATTCAGCGAATAAGCTGCCCTTCAATGGAATACTTTCGGAAGGAGTTTTTGTTGACGAAACAGCCTGTTATTATAACAAATGCTATGGATCATTGGCCCGCTATGGACAAGAGGAGATGGTCTCTCAACTATCTCCAGAAAAGAGCGGGGTACAGAACAGTTCCCATAGAGATAGGATCTAAATACACAGATGACAAATGGACCCAGAAATTAATGACAATTGGGGAATTCATCGATCAGTTTATTACAACGGAAATGAAGAGCTCGACAGACGACATAAGTCTGAGGTCGAAACATGTCAATCCAGTTGGATACTTAGCACAGCATCAACTTTTTAATCAAATTCCAGAACTTCTAGATGATATATTGATTCCTGATTATTGTCTTCTTGGCGGAACCGGAAGTGAGAATCCGGATACAAGTGATGCTTGTAGACAAGAAGACACCGAAGATGTTGATATAAATGCCTGGTTTGGTCCCAAGGGAACAGTTTCACCACTTCACCACGACCCAAAAGAGAACTTCCTTGCTCAAGTTGTTGGGCGGAAGTACGTTCGATTGTATTCGGAGGCCATGACTCCTTATCTTTACCCATATGACGGTTTTATGGACAACACCAGTCGAGTTGATATAGAACATCCGAACTTCTCGATGTTCCCGCGCTTTAAAAACGCCACCTACCGGGAGTGTGTCCTGGACGAAGGCGAGATGCTGTTTATCCCGCGAAAGTGCTGGCATTTTGTAAAGTCACTTTCGATAAGTTTTTCTGTCAGTTTCTGGTGGAAATAACATATTAAACATATGTCTCGTCAGTATTTATGTGTGTGTCCCTGTGATTTTTTTTTTAATTATAATTGCATTCGGCAATAAACATCGTTTTGTTCTGTATCTAAAACAACATCTACAATATATATGTTTGTACAGATTTCGCTTTCATTCTTTAAACCAACTTTTAATCTACATTTCAAAATTTATTATGGTCATCCCGAAGACGACATCAATACAGATTTAATAAATTATATGCTTTCAGGTCATTTGAAGTTTTGTCCAATCAAAAACTCTCGTTACAAACCAGGAATATCGGTCTCGATAATTTCCTTGACCGGGAACAAGACAACTAACATGTAGTGTTGTTGTTGACAAAAACTTGTACACGAATATGTAAACATAATGTATATAAGAAAATACTTTGATATATCGGGTTACCTGTCTTGAGGTTTTGGTTATACTTATTTTTTATTAATGGGTCTGGAGCGCAAATTGACGGAAGTGACATCCAAGTTCCTATAACCTAATGGCCTGTTTAACTAATAACCAGTCCAGTTGCCAGTTTCTACGTCGTGTTCCTGTGTAAGTTTGATTAGTCGCCATGGTCGCCTGTTTTTTGGACACATCCAGAATAGAGATTAAGGATACATTAACAATTAGTAGCTTAGCTCAAGTTCGAACGGTTTTATATAGGCATGGTCACGGAAACTCACTGTAACCTTTAGTTAATTTACTCGTGTCAGAACTTTTCACCATGCAACGTAGTATATTTTCAATATTGTAAGGTCAGCAGTTTGAAGTATTGCTTAAGTCTGTTATAAAAATTAAAATTGCCCATTTACAGAAAAACAGAACTAGAGTAAAGAAGCTGTAAATCGGTGCATGTATTTAAACTTCTTTACTTTATTTGTCTTTCAGTGTCAATAGTACATGCTGTATAAGCATTCCTTACCAGGCCACGTGTTTCGGAAGATTTGTCATAAGCCTACTGCATCAGTTGCACATAACCTCGTAATTCTTTCTAAAATTGATGCAAGATTGAAGTATCTAGCAAACTGCCCCAAGTGGTTAAGGTGATGTAATGGTGTAAGGGAGTATGGCGAGACACAGCTGGTTGATGTAAAGTCTGAAGTCGTGACACGTGACAAGGTGTGTGTATGTACATGTATTCCGTATTTATCATCATGTTAAGGATACCGCAAGGTTTCGTTATACATGACGTACTATAGTGGACTTTCTCAAGGCATGATAAATGTTTACTGTTAAGTGTTTCTGTCGGGCAACGGACTTGAAACAAACTTCTTGAAAATATATATTATGTAATATAATTCGCGCGTTTGAAATTAATTACTTGTACAATATTTCCTTTTATAACGTTATCTTTTGAAAATTAAATTCTGTATGTATATATAAAAAAAATCACCAATATAATCATCGTGTCTTGACACATATACAACCATGAAGTTTGTGTGTTTTGCTTATCAAAGACTTTTTTCTACATCAATGATTAGTTCTGTTGAAGTACTACTTGCCTTACATATTTTCCTGCAAAATTTTAATTAACGTTTTCCTGAAAATGGAGTGGTCTTAAGGAGCTGACCATCTGGAAGCGAATTTGGCTACCTAGAGGTGAATTTATCAGCTAAAACAGCCAGATACTTTATAAGTAATCATTTCAAGTCAGTGCACAATATCATCAGTCAAATTCTGCCATTCTCTTCTTTTATGCTTTTTTTATATAAAACAATGTATTTGTTTTGAGAGCACTCTACTGGCCCGTATTATTGTCAAGTGACATTAAGCGAATTCTACAAAATGATATTAACCGAAATCGGTGTTTATAACAACAACAAAACACAGATGATTCAGTGAAAATGTAATGACGGAGAGACAAGAAAAACGATTAACAAAATAATAAATTATCTAACACAAAAATCTCACAGAAATTCTGTCATGATTCAAAACTGGAAATCCTCCAGATATGTCCCAAACTAACCGAACAGCGTCGCCATAGTCTGTACCATACATTTTTGGAGGACTGGAAGTTATTTGCATCGCTCCCGAACAAGGAACGAATCTCCCAGACTTTTTACAATATGGCTGACATACTCTTCCACACTCATCATATGTGGTAAACAGTACTTCTGTTAAATGTTTTTCTGGACTTTTTACAGCAATATAAACAATTGATGAAGAGAAGGGTTGTCTAGCGTCAAGAAGTGCGAAATCTCGATATGTACCGTGGTAATTCAGGCCATTGCTGTGAACCATTATTTTCATAAAAACAGAATGCTTCCTCTCCTGTTTACAATGCACAGCTTCGCGCTCCTTTCGTGGTTTGAAATAGTCTTTTAAACTAGCATATTGCGTGGGATCGTACAAGTCAACTTTATCGACCATTTTCGAGTTTCGAATTGGAAAAACGTGGAACTTTTGTAGTTGGGGATTTCGCTTGTACACAATTTGAATGGGTACATAAACCCACACTCTAGAGTCTGTTAACCCATTCATTTCAAATATATTCTGTAGGGCATGCGGGGGTTCTTTGACTGGACAGATCTCACCCATGCTTCTAAAAGCCTGTATATGCTTCTCCGCGCCATTTCCTAAACTCCTTTTTGCTCGATTACCGAAGAAATTTGGAGGAAATGGTGGCATTTGTCTATTGTTGGGATTTTGTGGCCCTTGTTGTGATGCAGATTGCCGCGGCCACATATTAGGCGGCATCGGCCTACCCCGTGACTGAGATCCGCCCGAGGGCTGTTGTCTCCCATGTGATTGCGGTCCCACAGGGGGCATTTGTCGTCCACGTGACTGAACCATGTTCGTATTCATTTGTCCTCCGCGTTGTCGTGACCCGCTTCCGTTACGAGGCATCGATCTCGTGCGGTGGTTGTTTCCAGAGACGGACGTCGATCTTGATCTAGATGTGCTCATTCTTGATGGGCTTCCGTTACCAAACGCTTGAGATTCAGCGGCAGTAACGCTTACGCAGTTTGGCGACCCAAATCGAACTTCACATCGGAGATACTTACTTCCGCAAGTTGTCTGTCGGTACGTGCACGTAGGCGAATTTTCGTACGTGTATATCTGTGACGTATAAATGTCACTCAGTCCATGAATCATGTTTAGTTTTCCGAAACCCATCTTAGAAGTTGGGGACTGTGACGCGGGACCGAACCTCCTCGGATAATCTTTTGTTGGATCTACCCCGGCTCTGCGCTGGTTAACACGAAATAGTTCCCACAAGTAATCCACGAATGCATGGTGCAGGAAAAATATAGGATCAAATGCGGAGTGTTCAGCTGGGGCCATTATGCCGCCAACCCACTTGTGAACTTCTCCATGTCGGATTTCAAAATCAAAAGGAGGCTGTGCATGCGGCTCTGTGATGTCCGACATTCTGACTCGCGAGAGTATTGCTTGTGTCTCTCTATTCGACAGCAGCTGGCCCTCTTGACCTAAGTTTCGGACAAGGGGTCCAGATGGAGTTTGCCAGTAAGCAAAAGGTCCATTGGCGACCCTTCCAAAGCCATTGCCAACGAATTCTCCTGTCCACATAACGGAAAGGCTCGGATTTGTGAGACGTTCGTCCATTCGAGAATCCCAATACGGGAGAATCACAGTGGGGACTTTCTGGCGAAGAGCATTCTCGTATCTTGTAAGGAAAAAAGAACAGAAATTACAAACTTATCCCAGAAGAGGTAACTCAATTTTTAGGTTGCTGTTTAATAATGCTCTAATCTGGAATCTACTTTCGATTTCAACAACTTGTAATCGGTACAACAATAAAAGTTCTTAGACTTTACCTATAACTTACAAACACACAGCAGATATGACATATATATACTTACATGATTAACATGACCCTGTGCCAGCCCAAGAAGGCAGCGCCATGATGGATGTCGTCTCCAAGTTTCTGGTGAAGATTGGCTAAGGCGTCATACCGATTCGGATAAATAGACTGAAACAATAAAGCACATAGGTATATAATTAATGAGAAATTCCTCTGCCGACATAAAGTTAAGAACATCCGTTACTTAATTTTGCGCCTCTTCCTTTATTCTGTTTGTTCTTTTTTTTCAATCTTTCCGTCGCTACGGTTTCCTTGTTTCAATCGGGAACCTTCGACGTACTTTTCGTTGACGAGATATATTCTCGTTAACGGACAGTGCCGAAGGTTCCCGATTGCTTGTTTGATGTCATATGACGTCATCAGTTACGTGTTGTTTGTATTGACCGTGAGATTAAGGAAATATTTCACAGAAGTAAATATGATGTGTCGTGTTTGATATTTGCGAAAAGTACGTTTTCATTTTTTTCTTCAAATATTTCAATTATTCATAATTTTATCCACTGATTGTTGGTTGCAAAGATTAGTGGCAGTCTAATGTAAGCCAGAATGCTAAAATGACGTCACATATTTTCAGTTTGTTTAAAATGTATCTATCTTCATTTGAGCTTGCAAGTATACATGTAATTATGTTAACCTCGACGTGATTATCGGGAAGTTACATGGTAATCTTAATGCTATCATTAGGATTTTTTTCCTTGTGAGATACGGAGTTAGACATGTTCGGTGATTGTTGCTATTTCTTCTGATTTCAATGTCATCAATTCATGCAATTCATTTTTTGAGACTGACCTAAATTAACATGACAGTGGCGTCGGTGAAGCAGAGGGCGCTTACCATGCCGGAACACTTGGTTTTATTACCTTTTTCGAAATTTTCATGATAATCTTTTCTTAGTTTCAGCTAGCCCTAAACATAACACGTGCGACAAAAAAAGTTTTAAAATATCATCCATACTATCAGTTGTAAAGTTGTGACACGGAAGTAGAAGTCCCAGTAATGTTTTACGCCAACTCATTTATTGACATATAGCGTGTGCAGATAACAAGCTTCTGTATGAACGAGATCTTACGTATCTTACGCGGAAAATCTGCTAAGATCATCCGAAAAATCAAACGCGAAATGTCATATACAAGTTAGGAACTAAAAAAGTACGATAATTAAAGAAGAACAATTCCTTAAACTTTATGTCAATTAAATGTTCTCCCGAAATATCGGTTATATTACCTCAATAACATATCTGATAATACTACGATCGCTGCACATGGCTTTGCTGTAAGTCATACGACTAGTTAAGATTTTCACGAATTATTTTCAGTTTTCCTGGGAGAAGTGCTCACCGAATCTGCTTTAAGCATCTGAATTGCTCTGTGGTAATTCCGTCGCTGCGTGTCGGTCAGGCGGCGATACTCTTGTCGAACTCTCAGTGGCTCCACCTGACGCTTCCGCCTGTCTCCTTCCGTCATGCGCAATAGCTCATCCACCCACTGATTTGTTTCACTAGAAATATTATGCCACAATCGCTTTGAAATATGCCACCGGAACTTCTGAATACACCAACTGTGGCTACAATCCCAGCGTGGGTCGGTGGTATTTATATGGAACCTCTTTTCTTCTAAACATTGTGATATTTCTTCCGGTGGATAAATGGCACGGAATCTAGCTGATACTATTTGAATCATTGCGGCAATGCCGAACACAGACACAGAAAACCACTGCATCTGAAAATGACCAATAGAACATATTTACATGTGAAAGTTACTTTGAATTTGGAATGTTGTAGTAAATGTACATAATTTATGTAAATTGCGAAAGAAGAAGACGGAACTAGTGAAATCAAGTATAACAATGAATGAATTTTACTACGTAAAAGAAAATTGTCAGATTTTCTATGGCTGAGTTTCGCCACTGAAAACCAAAAACGACGCATACATCACCTAACAATGAACCAACGTTTTCATTATACAAAGATTACACTTACACACTTGTCATGATATGTTCCGCGCATAATTATCCCCAGGTCATGACATTTCGTTACTTTTAATCATGACAAGTGATAAGCGCCTCCTGACACGAATATACTAAAACAGCAATAAAGTTAATGACTTGATGATCGTTTAATTACCTGCGTCATCAGAATGGCCACATTTTGTATGATAACTGTAATTAAAACCTCAAATATCCAGATGCGACATTTCTTTTATGGTAGCTCGTGTTTTATTTATCTGTTTACAAACCATTTATGTTCTTTATTTTATTAATTGCCGAATCCATAATTAACACCACTATTTTAAGAACTATATTTATATTTGTTTATTAAATGAAGACGTTTTATTGTGTATTTAATGAGTTAGTGCGAAATATATTTAAATGCTTATATACCTACAGTAAGATAAACAAATTAGTACGAATCTGCGCATTGAAAATATAATGAATGTTGAGGATCATGATTTCAAATGATCTGAAAGAGTAGTTAATGAAAGAATACATATTAGACCAAATAAATAAATAATTAAATAAAGGACAATCGACTGAGTAAGCAAAGATATCAACGATGAATGAACGAAAACAAAAGTTTAAAGAGGTATACATTCCAACTGAAAGGTCTCTCAAGCGGATGAATTAAACTACGATTAGAAAATTATGAAAAGAGAATATTCATTAATATTATAAACAATCAAAGAAACTATAACACATTTATTGACGCGATTTAAAAATCTCATTTGACTATCAATCAAAACCGATCGCGGGATTTTGCACGAGAAACATGCGCAGTCACAACAGTTGCAGCGCCACCTGCGGCAGAAAATGGCTTAACGCGACAGTGAGAGTGAGTTTAGTAAACATTGAAACTTGTGTTTTCAATATCGTATACAAAAGAGAAAAGGGCAGAAAATGGCCCTCTTTCGTTTTGCCGCGGAATCATCCATGTTTTCTTTTTTAAATTTAGCACGTGCGCGATATGCGCATGCCCGAGATTGGGTTGCCTCTTCGCCGCCCACAACTTTACAGAATATATCGCGTCCCGGAGTTTATTCTTAAATCAAACTAAACAAATTGGTAGCGTAACTTGTACATTTGAGTAATTGCGGAAAGTTCATGAATCCCGGGATACAGGAAAAAAATATTGCGCAGAGTTGTTTTAAAACGTATATTAGAACCAAAAGTCCGTATGTATACCACTTTAAATAGGAAAATATTTAACTTAATGATTATTACAAAAATCGATGCCCACAATATTTGTATGTGTTGGATCCTACAATTAAAGAAATACGAAGAATGAAGGCAACATATCACCGAACCCGGATAGTGAAACATTTGACACGTAGATAAGATAGCACGACTAACGAAGATCTGGGTAAGTGGTGATTACAGATATATGACTAATTTTCAAAGATAAGTGGTTACTTTATTAGCATATGTCCGGATAAACGGGTTACCTGGTTAACGAATATTCGAATTATAGTGGCAATTCCCGGATTCTTCAGCAGTTTGATATATGTATGGATTTATGGATTAGCAGTGAAACTTCGGATTATTATCATTGGTTAGTTTTACGACAAATGTTAACAAACTTTTGGGGACGCAAGAAGAATCTCTTCGGCAAATGAAGCAATATTAAAAAGAAAATCCAATTATCGTGTATACATACTGAAATTCGCTATAGACTTCCTGGTCATTACAAAGACAGATTACAAGGATATCATTCATTTTAGCATTACAACAGTAGTCATGTATATTAAACGGATTGATAAAAAAACTGTCAGACTTATTTTATTGGAATGTGTCCGGAAAAAAACGAAAATTTTCTTAAATTGAAATTTATTCATTTAGGCAAACAGTCTCATTTTACAGAATTAGTCGAACCTAACTCTTAGTGACGTGCCATCTGTTTTAGGAATACATTTTTTTGTTTTCCGGTTTCATCTCTCAGATCATTTGATATCATAACCTCTATTAAATTGATTAATTATTTAAAAAATAACACACATACATATATGAATATAATGTTGGAATGGAAAAAATTTGATATTTTCATTTGGAAACAGTTTTCTTTTCCCCGTGTATAACAAACATTTAAATGTCATTAGATTATCTGAGCTTGATACATCTGACTTAAAACACATAAAGTTAAAGTGTTCTTTTTAATCACATTTCGAAAAAGTAGAGATTAAACAGAACATTCACGCATACATACCTTGATTTTTAAAGAACGGAATCTCCTTTAGGACGCCAATCACATAACCTCGCCAGAAATCGATGGTTGATGGAATTTTCTTGATTGATTTTTTTACAATTAACACAAAGCGTAGCAAAAAATAAAATATTACTCCTCAGGAACTTGTACTGTCATTATGACATGCGCAGGTTGCCAGCTTATTTTTTTCTTCTTAAAAACTCGGACATTTCACATCGTTCTAAACCAATGTCGTTTTGAAAATGATGAACAAAATTTTTGTTCATTGTGTTAATACATACCTTCCGAGATCTTAAAGGTCAGAAGTAGTTAGTATTCACGGGAGACTTTCCCGAAGTAGACACACCGAGTCATTTTTAGTTTATGATTGAGATATTTAGTAGACAAGGTCAAACTTGTTTAAAGGTCAAAGAGCTTAAGAACGAAACAGTATAGGTACACCACTATTCAGGAAGTTAGACAATAAATTGTCAACCTTTGAAAAGAACCAAAAACGAACGCGTCATTTCATAAAATTTCTTTATAAAGCATAATTAATTTGTATTGCTATCTTTAAATAGCTTTATAATGAAACATTACTGTTAACTTTTAACCCTGAGTGTTTTTATAATTAATAAAATTTTCAAAACAGTTCTTATCATTGGGTTCAAAATTATTACTTTTAGGTAATATTTATATGTATATCTTGTAATTTCTTCTCATTCCAAAAAAAAAAAAATACATATTTTCTTGCAAGGACCTTGCAGGTACAGTATATGTATATTTATGAGCATTTAGTTTTGTGATGAATGTATTTGCCATGACTCGGCAATAACAATGGAAAGTGATTAACTTTTCATTCAACGGTAATAAAATTTATCCCTGTATGAATCCGCTCAATATTAGTTTGGAATTTATCATTTGGGTCCAAATTTACTCCTTGCGTACTCAGATGGGGAGGGAACGGGGTGGGTATGGTGCGGTAGGGATGGGGGTGGGGATGACTGTTGTGGATGGGGGTTGGGGATTGGGGTGATGAGGGTAAATGGATTGGGTTTAGGGATGGGGTAGGGATGTGGGTGGGGTTGGGTGGTCTCGTAAGCAGGGTCATGATATTAATATCATACACTTATGGTGAAGGTTTTGATGGTTATATATACATTTGATATGTGAGGATGCATACATTAAAGTGGTGTCACCATACCGAACATTGATCCTGTAAGAAGTTCGACGACCCATCATCATGATATTGCAGTTTTCGACATCTTGTACCGGAAGAAAAGTCAAGCGTAACATCAGCTGATATATATGCGACACGTTGTCGCAGATATAAAGTTGCTGTGATATCCGGGAAACGGCGAGGCCGACCAACACTTTAAAGCACACGGAATCAAGTAAGAATTTGGATTGGCTAAACCAATTTAAAAAGGTAATTACATAATTCCGTTAGCTCGTATATCATTAAGATAGACAATTCAAAGTACCACACTTCTTATATCAAACACATTTCGATCACAAGGTAACCACAGTGCCTAGATCCATGCAGAGTCATCAAAAATGCATATGTTTAAATGTCAAGTAAGATATGTGAGGAGATTTTTGATCGATGATATCTTTGATTTATACGGATCAATATAATAAATAAATTTGCATGAATGAAATCTAACTTGACGGTCAGTTTCCTGTTAGGAACCAAAACATCCGAACTGTGACTTACAATTTGAAAGTCACGTATGTATTTAATTTTCATAAAGTTTTTTTTTTTTTAAATATTATTTACAATTTGAATGTTGGAACATTCATATGACGTAGGCAGTCTTTAGAATTATTGATAAATAGGTTCATACATTAATTATACATTTCGTCTTGTATAGAAATAAAAACAGGTCGACCAAAGTTTAGTTTGATCCCAAACATTAATTAGTATCAATAAATGTTATAACAAATTACTTCACTATATAAAACCTCGCTTTGAAATGATAACATATAACACATAGTTGTTAAAAACATGTCATCTCTTGAGGTTAAAGCTTTGATTTTGCAGTTCTGTCTCGCTTAAGGACGTACGCTGTATGTGGCACTTTACTAAGTAAATTTTAGTGTTTTTAGCGAGTGAATCACTTGGTCCGAACTGTTACCTCTGTCCTCGTATAACTATGGCTGTTAACAGGACGTTAAACATCCCATAAAAACAACAATAACTCCAAATGGTTACTGATAAACTATTACTGATCAACTAGTTCACCATATATACGAATGTGTATTGAGACCATCTTAGCTTGCCTTGTAATATTTGCTTTTCAATAGGTCTTGAAAAAAGCTTAACTTTTCTATTTGATATGAACCAGTATGGCATCGTAAAATGTGTGACCTTTGAACTCATCAAAGCTGCGAACATTTCTATTATATTAATACACTTAAAAGCCGTAACAATGTTCGATTTTATAGATGATTTTAATGTGGATCCGTGATGTCTTGTAACATGTAAGTTATATAATGTCATTCATATTGTGATACATCTAGGAGGGATTCTTGTATATTGTC